AAAGTTATGATTCCACCTTTAGATGATCAGTGGAACTACTAATCCTTCTGAAACTATGTATGCTGCCTTGAATTCAGTTATATTTTATTCTCAGTCTTCAGAGATGACCTTCGAGTAAAGTTACCTGAATTGCAGGATTGTGTTCTCATATTCACATCATCATAAATTGTGTACTTTTACACTGACCAAAAGGTGAAATACTGTGAGTCACTTTGATACACAATGGTTCATAGAATGGGACATTAAGCCCCCCATCAGTGATATGGGAGAGGAATAAACCAACCTTGTGCCAGAAATAGATTCCAGAATAGCAGTAGCAATGTAATGTCAATAATTATCAATGTTGTTATACCATCACTTTACCCAAAATCTGTTATATGTGCTGTTGTGATAAATGCAGCTTATCTGCTTGTGAAATATAAATACTCAATCCCATTTTTGTAACAGTGGAGGTTACAACTATATAGGCATAGTAATGTAAATCAACTGAAAAAGACATCAGCCACAGTACAGCAAGCCCGGAAAGTTTACCCATTTTATTTTTTTTATAAAGGAGTAAGCAAACAAAATGTTGTGCTTCTTTGAATACCAAATAAAAGCTTTCTTTGTGTAAAACAGTACATAAATCTGGGCTCTTCTTTACTTTTGAATAATATGCATATATGTCATAAAGGGGCATTATGGTTTCCTATTGAATATCAAAATAACTCATCATAATATCATTGCTGTTTGTCTTCACATTTTGTTTCAGAAAAACAAAACAAAATTTAAAAAAACAGAACTAGTTAGGGAGTTTGAAGCAAACTCCCTTCCCTTTACCCCAATACATTAAAAAAATTGAGTACAAGTGTTAAATGGATCAAATAGTAAATTTGCACATTTACAAGCACAGAAAATTAGAAACACTGCTTTAGACCATGCCAAACCACATGTATGTGTATAAAGCTATTGATGAAATAGTTCATAGCAGCAGAGAAGGAATCATATTCCACAAACAGTACCTCATGGATACATAGAGTACATTCCATACATGACAATCCAAATTCATCAGCAACAGAAAAAAACTGAAATCAAATCTATGCTTACTTGATAGGGAGGTCCATTCAATATAATGGAACTGAGAGCTCAGTGACATAGGACTGGGCAAAGAGTTTCTTTCACTGAAAGGAGCACATCCACCTGAAATTATTGTATTGTGACATGATAAACACTGTATACTGCAACCCATCACTGCACTTTGGGAAACATGCATGGACAGCTTAGGCGAATGAGAGTACCTCAAAGTACTTTCTATAGGCATATAATGCTGATACACCAGAATATATTTCTTTTTAGTAATTCCCCAAACATTTAATAATAATAATACTGAACGTACTGAATATGGACATTCCGGGATAAAGAGTACAGTCTGCCATACACATTAATGATTTTATTTTTTTAATATATAATGGGCACTTATTATATTCTACACCTCAAAAATGACAGTGTATTGTTTCTCGCAATTAAGAAATAAACATTTAAGTGGTATATATATGACAAGTTATAGCTACAAATTTCAAGAAAAATAAATCATGCTTATAGATGTCAAAGTCTGACTGTTTTTCTTTCTCATTTCTGACTGTGCTTACGGCATCTATAGATATAAAGGATAGAACAATCAAAGGGTTCTAACCCCCTCCATTTTTTTTTATAACCTGAACAATAAGATGTTCATTTAACAGGTGAGATTCAGGGTGACCCAGAGCATCTTGGAATGTGTACTCGAGACACTGAACGTGGGTAGTTTTTAGTATTCATCTCATTATGCATGCCAACACATGGTGCTCTCTTACATGAATACTAATGCATTTCTAAAGTTGATCCTAATAAAACATCTGACTTAAGACACACCTTAACTGTATTTTTCAGTGACATGCTATTATAGACTGTTGCTAGAAAAGCTGTGAAACTGGCATTTTGATTATGTCCACCTCTACATGATGGGGTGTGCTATACATACTGATAAAATTTCACTTTGAAAGTTCACTGTAGTCTGAGTGAGAAAGACCAGTTTGGCATAGTCTATAAAACCCAGACTGGGCAGAAGGTTGACCTAGATCTACTGGCAGATTTCTATGTTTTCTACAGAGAGAAGTATTTTTGATTCCCAGTCATTTTACAATAGGAGCAACAACAAGACTTTATACCTTATATCTAGGAATGGAATCATCTCTCCATGAACTATGCCACCTAGGTCTGTCAGTTCAACATCTGAAGGGCTATGTAAGTCCTCCTTTCTGCTCTAAATAATACTGCTGACACAAAGAGCATTTAGAATGAAAGTGTGTGTAGAAGTAGTTTAGTTCATATCTAGTACTCATCCAAATCCTATCTTCATGATTCTTTCATTCTAGAGCATGAGAGATCATGGTTTTTTGGGGGGTGGAGGTCCTCATTGTTCAAATTGAAACAAAACACAAAACTAAACAAGTCCTTTGAATCCAGGTCCTAGCTGAAGCGCTTTGTCTCACTTCCCGTTTTTAAAATGGGGCATATAAACAAACTTTTCCTAAATGAAGATACAAATTGAGCATCCCTTATCTGAAACGCTTAGGAACATAAGTGTTCCATGTTTCATCACCTCCACCCCGCACCATTGCAGATAACTTTGTAATACTTGATTACACATGAGATATCTTGGCTATGGAACCCAAGTCGAAAAATGAATTTTCTCTATGCTTCGTATAAACCTTATACACACAGCCTGAAGGTAATTTTATACACATTACTTTTAATAATTTTGTGCATGGGACAATGTTTGTATACATTGAACCACCAGAAAAGAAAGGTATGATAAGCTCAATCATCCCTGTGAACAATTTTGGATTCAGGAGTATTTTGGAAATCCAGGAAAGTAATGCTCAACTTGTTCAGTGCAACAATTACACAAAAAATCAATATGCCTGTAGAATGTAGAAGGATCGTGTGGCTTAACTTTCTTTTTAGACTATGTGCTCTATTACACCTATGATCATGCCAGATTGATTTGTGGTCTAATGGAGTTTCCCACATCACTTTAAGGGTTTTAATGCCTCTAAATGATTCTAATCTATTCTGAATACTGGTGGAGATGACAACTATTAAAGACAATATGTTGTTCAAGGATGTGTTAATTAAAATATCATATATATGCTACATGTTAAGACTATCACACTCATCAGTGCTTTGAAAGAAATCTGTTTTAAGAAGCATTTAAAAGGCATTGAATTTAGACTATATAAGTTTTTTGTCATTCCAATGTTGCATGCAATACACAATTTTATTGCCCCCTACAAAATCTTGAGCAATGAGATATTTTATGCAAGCATTGGGATCAACTAAGGAAAAAATTAATGTGAATGTTTTTAAAATCCCATGAAACAGCACATGGGCAGTAAATATATGTTGAAGTGACTGTGTTGATATCTACCTTATGAATAAGTATAGTTTCTATAATGAGTCTCGTCCCCCTGAAACATATTAATTTTTTTCACCACATTTTTATAACTGTAATGACTTGGTAAGAATTAACAGAAAATCTAGAGCAGTGGTTCTCAACCTGTGGGTCCACAGGTGTTTTGGCCTGCAACTCCTAGAAATCCCATCCAGTTTACCAGCTGTTAGGATTTCTGGGAGTTGAAGGCCAAAACATCTGGGGACCCATAGGTTGATAATCACTGATCTAGAGGATAAATACAGTTCTTCCATTTTCTTGAAGTAATGAGATTTGCCTGCTCCACTTATTCAGTAAATGATGCTGGCTAGCATTCTGCATTGGACTTATAGATATGTAACTTAGGATTCAGGATTTATAACTACTTCATACCCAGTAACAATATGTAGCAAATACCATCCACATCTATATTAACAGTCAGCAGTTGCATCAAGTGAAAGAAGTATTTCCATCTGATTATTGAGATACAGGAGGATGGCATTTCTGCCCCCCTTCCATCAGTGAACGAGGCTGCAAGAAGGAAATCTTGGTGGGGGTCCTGTTTGTTGCATCTTCATTTTCTGATGAGTGAGGGCTGAGAAAATCACCCTAATCCACACCGATGGACAACTAAACACTTGATGTAGTTGCTGGCTGCTAAGTTAGATTTGGAGGTGGCCAGGCCAGGCCATTACGCATTCAGAACTAAGGTGGTGATGAAGGATATTGGCCATTATTTGCTATTCTTCTTGATAACTTGAGACATTGTTGAAAAACAGCACTGCCTTTGCCCTTGAAACAGGGAGCCCTATGATATCTCAAGGGCTCAAAGTGACCTCCCTCCAAAGTGGGACCTGCTGTTCAAGACATATTATTCCAGAACAATTATTTATATTGGATACAATGTCTAAATTGGATATTAGATACTGAGAGATCACAAAGACATTGCTTCAAAACATAGGAGAACATATTTGTCAAATATTAAAGTTTACTTGGGCAGTTTCTATTTTCAGCAGACAAATTTATGAGCTGGAGACTCTCAGGATTTCTTTCCAGTGGTATATAGCAAACCTATTTGACAGTCAAGGGAAATATTTAGACAAACAGGTTTAAATTCCGACAGCTACATATTGAGTGAAAGGTACACATCTGAAGACAATTCCCTTAGATATTATTAAAATAAGGACATTGTGATCCCCTTTATATACATACAGTAGGAGCTGAAATGGTCTGAAATGTTTACAAATTAGAAAGTGTACAGCTATACAACATCATGCCTTTAAAAAAACCAAAGTATAAAAGTTTTACAACACATTATATAGGTCCTTCTAGGATCTATAAAACATGTACTGAAATCACCATATTACAAGTAATTACTAACAAAGATTTCTATTTCATTATATATATATATATATATATATATATATATATATATATATATATAATCATTACTTATATAATAATTAAAAAATCACTTTAAACAAGTATACAAGTTCACTTTAAAATTAACTTGTTAATAAAGTTGTGCAAAACAAGCTGGCCTCTATAATTAAGTGAAGTATTTCTTTTATTTACTTTATTTATACAAAAATAATCAAAATAAAGTTCTTTCAGAAGTGCGTCTCTTTTTCTGTGATGGCTGAAATGTTGCCATCACCTTTCAGTTTGGCATCATAGTCATTTACTGTAGCAGCATATAAGCCAGCTCCAAGCTTTCCTCTCATTTTCAGGTCTGGGCTGGCCACAATCAATTTTCTGAATCTCTGGAAAAGGAATGAAAAAAAATGGAAGAGTTTAACTATTTCTGTAACACTTTCTCTCACACATATACAATCACAGAAACTAGACAATGACCACATCCATGTATATTTCCACTTTCAACAGCTGCAAATTACATTTCTACCTATGCTGCCATCTCTGTAAACTAAGAAAAGATTACTTCCCTCCTCATTGGTTATTACTGGAATGCGCCATCAATCTATTTGAATGAAGGTAAGATCACATTACATACATGGACCGGAGCATTTCCCAATTCCTGCTAACAAGAGGTAAAAACAGTTTCATCATGGGGAGACTTCTAGACTGATTTGAGGTTTATGGCCAGTGTAAACAAGCCTTTAGTGGCCTGATGCTGTAGGAAGACTGAACCAGCAAAGTGTGTAAAAATTGCAAAGGCAGAGTGGGCAACACTAGCTTTTAAGAAGCCTCCGGTGGCACAGTGGGTTAAACTCTTGTGCTGGCAGGACTGAAGACTGACAGGTTTGAATTTGGGGAGAGCACGGATGAGCTCCCTCTGTCAGCTCCAGCTCCCCATGCAGGGACATGAGAGAAGCCTCACATAAGGATGATAAAACATTTTAAAAAAACATCCAGGCATCCCCTGGGCAATGTCTTTGCAGATGGCCAATTCTCTCACACCAGAAGCAACTTGCAGTTTCGCAAGTCGCTCCTGACATGAAAAAAAAACCCAGCTTTTAAGAATTTCCTTCCTTCTTTCATCTCCTTCTCCATCTTCTCCTTTCCTTTTTGGAAAACTACATACTTTACAAATATCTGGCACAAAACTGGGTTGGGTTATTCCTCTGTTTGGTACACGAATTTTTCAAAAAGTTACAGTCTTTACAATATTTCAATGTAAGGACAATTTGCTTTGATTTGGATTCAGGTTTCAGATCAGAATAGATTAGACCTGAATCAATCTGAACTGGGCCCATATCCAAATGACTGAATCAGGCTCCAAACTCCAGGGATAGTGAAATATTTGTAATAAATTCTTACTGAGTGTAAACAAAACACTACAGAGACAGCTCAATGTGGCTTGTTTCCCACTACTTACTATCTCATGCTGCAGCGTAACAAAAATATGCCTCACCTCTAAGATGGTTCCTTCTGTCTTCCACAGCTGAATACAGATCCACAAAGGAATGCAAACCATTGAGGAAAGAGCCATCATCCATCCAATACCATAGCCCCAATCTGGATACGTATATATGTTGTTGTACTTCAGTGGCTTGTATTTCACCAAGAAAAAGATGAATATTCCCTAAAAAAGAAACAAGCATATCATTTGTGCTTGGGAGAAAAGCAAAACAAAACAAAAACCCAATCCTAAATGACAGTGAAAACTATGCTAAGCTATGAAGACATACAGAAAACAGGCCATTTTTGCCTTTTTGACATGCACCTCTCCATTTATAGTCGAATTCTATTTAATGTTTAAATCCTAATTACGTAGCCATGAATTAAGGGCCACATAAATAGGCAGTTATACAACAAATACCTATAACTAGATTTGATTGGAGACTAAATGTTTATTCCACACACAAGGTAAATTGCTGGTTCAGTTTCAACCTAGCTGCGTACTTTCCACAGTGTTTTGAAAGACCCCTCATTAATAATTTTAAGTGAAGAATAAAAAAATAAAGGATGACTGGGTGTCAAAAATATTCAAGGGCCTATAGATATGTTTTTGGATGTTAGCCCTTAAGTTTTGAGAAATCAAAATTTAATGATCTCTAATTGTGCCAAGAACACCTGTATCAAATGAGTGATCAATGTGTGATCATATTCAAAGGAGCAGAAATTAGATGGTACTGATTTTCATTGATCTCATCTTTTAACCCAGTGGTTCTCAATCTGTGGGTCCCCAGATGTTTTGGCCCCCAATTCCCAGGAAATAACAGTTAGTAAACTGGCTGTGATTTCCGGTAATTGCAGGCCAAAACATCCAGGGACCCACAGGTTGAGAATCACTGTTTTAACCAGTGTTTGTGTTTGTTTTTCAAAAAACAAGATAGGAAAGCATGAATTATTTTTCACAATTAATAGATATATGATACTTTATTTTAAAAGAAGTATATTCCCCTCATAGGCCTGCCTGTTTCTGCAAAACTAAACTGGGTAAAGATTTTGCCAAGAATATTATGACCACATTAATCACTCCTTTATTACTTACGGCACAGATTCCAGGCGTGAGCAACTTCCAGCACCATTTAATCAATGGCAGTGGTCTGTAACCGATCATATCTTCAATGTTGTCATAAAAACGATCACTTCCTGCATAAAACAAAATTAACACAAAATGAATATTGTTGATTTTGATACTCTGTCTTCTTGTTTCTGGAGTAATGGAGCAACATGATAATGAATTCATTCTTATGACATTTTTGGATCTGTGACTGTCAAGAAAAGCATCACAATCAGAGGTTGAAGATGTATTTGTAGAAGATGAGTTGAGATCCTCCCCTCAAAGATTCAATACATTCCAAAAAAGGAACAGATACAATTCAAACTTACATTTTTCTTTTTTGTATATTGTATCAGGAAATTCTGACTCACCATAAAACCAGCCGATACAAACACATTCAAATATGGCAACAAAGAGAAGGCACATCCCACTGGCTGCATAGGAGTCAAACAACTGGAAAACATACATTCCACCCTAAAAGAGAAACAGTTAAAAAGTGAATTACTTCACACAGCTTTTTGAAAATGTAGTGGAAGGAATATAATTTACATACCTCTGGATTACATTTTACCCTACTCCCACAAATATAGAAACATGCTTTTTGCCTGAGGCCTTAATAGCACTTGGTACAACATCTAAAGAAGTGCACTGATTTCCACCAAAGCTCATGCTAAAATGAAACTCTGCCAGTCTCAGATGTGCTGCCGCATTTCTTTTTCTTCTCCCCTTCCCTCCCTCCTTTTTAGCATAGCTCTGTTTACTGTCATGGAATTTTTCTTAGTCTGAGTTTACATGGATTTAAACTGCAATGTACCTAAAACATTAGGTACAGAATTTTAAAAAATGAATTTCATTACATAGTCTGCATATACTTTGTGATAAAAATCATTATTGGATAGTGTGGAAAATCAGTAAACCTTGAGGATATTGGTGTCCAAATTATATGTGTGTCTGTTGGTCTGTGTTTTGATTCCATAACTCCCGCTAAAATGAGCCCTCCTCCGTAAATTACCTGCTTCTCTCTTTTATCTCGCCCGAGTTTTTAATTAGTTTTAATCAGTTTGTCTTTTAATAATTACATGTAGCCCGCCCATTATTACTGTACCTGTGCATATTGTAATTTTTACATTGTTATGTATTTATATGTTTTTATGTAACTATGATGTTATTGTTTATTGTTTGTGTTTTCAGTTTGTGTTTTGGTTTTTCTTTATTGTAATTGTTATTTGGGCTTGGCCTCATGTAAGCCGCTCTGAGTCCCCATTGGGGAGATGGTGGCAGGGTATAAATAAAGATTATTATTATTATTATTATTATTATTATTATTATTTTATGTAACATAATGTTTTAAAGTTTGTGAATGATTACTGAGAAATGTAATCACTTCCTTTTGAAATGTGTTTCCAATTGCCTACAATATTTAGGCTCCAATATCTAGGCTCCAAATCACTTAAATCCTTTTACAATACAAAGCTGCTCTCAGGAAGAAATCATCTGGGATTTTTTCCTGGTATGTAATATATATAAAAACCCAGATGTTGACAATTCGGTTATAGGAATAAAACCATGGACAGTAAACAGAGAGATCATCTACTAGAGCTGGTCCAGATGGAACATAAAATTAACCCTTGGATTCCTGAGGTTCAATTAGTAGATTGAAGTTTTGACAGATGTGCTAGTGCTATTGAAGTACTAGCACCAGTTTCTTACACAATAAAACAAAGCATTTGGACAGAATTTTGCTTAGCACAACTACATCTGATAAGAGCATGAATGGCAAAATACCCAGAAATACTCCAGAGCTTAAGTCAAAATTGCCTTCACCTGTTTAGCTCACTATATAGACATTTTGGAAATATGAACCTTACATGGTGGAATGTAGCACAACAGTGCCATTTGGTGGCTAAGCATACATACTGCAATTTTATATTCTTTGCAGAGTTATGCCAGAGTAGATACAGCTATGGTACCAAGCAGCAGTACAAGAAGGAGGAGGAGACATGTGTTATGAAATAATATCATGATCTTTCATCCACAACCCATCAGAAATTGCTACATCAGCACAAATAATACAATCAGAGCATGTCTATCTAGTGCAGTAGAGTTGTTCAGTCACCATCAAGCAATACTACCAATTTGAAGCCCAAATAGTTTATGGAACTTAAGGAATATGAAAAGTAAAAATTCACCTGTTCAATGCAAAGAAGAATTCAAAGAAATGGTATCAGAAATTGACTTTAACTTTGTAGGAACTAAACCATATGCATTGAAACTATTTTATTACAACCCACCAGACAGCTAACTCTATCAGTAATCAAACCTTGTGTAAATCTTTGCCTACTTCATTCTCACCTATAAGAATTAAAAGTTTCAGAATTTCCCCCACAAGATAAGATAAGATGAGCCTTTTCTTCTCTGTGCATTAGTCCTGCCAGAGTTAAGATTAATATCACATGTATCTGTGAGTGCCAGTTGGTGTAACTATTAAATATTTGCTGATATTCTACATTGGCTAGTTAGTTAAATCTGACCCCACTTCTCAACCATCCTTAAGAGCCAGGAACCAGATTGGGTGATGGAGGTTTGTACAAAAACGATTATATTTCCATCTCCCTTTCAAAAATGATAGTTTGTGACAAGTATCCTGGTTCAAGAGCTCATGCCAACTGCAGCAGAAGGAGGCCAAAGTATCCTTTTCTTTGAGCCCTAACTGGCAGATGAATGGACATCCTTTATCTAATCCAAGTCCTGGCCCTTAAAATGGCCTGTGGTGACAAATTATATAATTTTATGTAATGCAGAGCAATAACAAAACCAACAATTACCTTTAAGAGATCATTCATACAATATAGGCAGTCCTTGAGTTACAAAAATCTGACTTACATCTGACTCATAGTTAAGAATGGGGGTGAGACAACAGGAAGCGAGAGGAATCTACATTGCAAAAGGGAAATTCACTCCTGAAAGAGTTTTCATGGGCAAAAGGTGTCTCCACCGAAGCTTTATTACCAAAATTAAATGATCACAGGAACAGAAAGTGAGGCAAAATCTTCTGGACAGGGGCACAGACAGCAAAACCAACACCACAGGGGTGTTAACCCTTATGTTATCCAAAGCTTACACACACACACACACACACACACATATATATCTGGAGTTACACTTAAAATGTACCTGTTCCAACATATATATAATAAAGCTTCTTCTTCTTCTTCTTCTTCTTCTTCTTCTTCTTCTTCTTCTTATTATTATTATTATTATTATTATTATTATATACAAATTCAACTTAAGAACAAACCTACAGAACCGATCTTGTTCATAACTTGGAGACTGCTTGTGCTACTACTTTTTCCCAAGAAAATATTCTTATGCTGAATATACCAAATCAATAATTGATCTCACACAAATGTGATTTACAGTATTAAATGCTAATATACTAATATCCAGAATCAGAATCCTACTGGTTCACTAGATAGTAATTATAATGGATTTTGTTTGTTTTGCAAATATGATGGATACACATGTCATATCTGCAAAATAAAACAAACAAAGACAAACCAACCTTCAATGACAAATATTAGTCATAATGGAAGTCAGAAATGCCTATGATCATTTAATTTTTCTAAAGCTATAATTTATAAAAAGCAAGAGTTGGTAACATTAACATTAATACTTCCTTTATTTTAAAAGGTCAACATATTTACCACAGCCAAATACAAAATATGACCCTTTAGGCATCCCTATTTCAATTAGTAGAAGATACAAAACATTTATATAGACATGTGTTGATTCCATGCAACGCCATAGATCCTTTGACAATAAATGTAAACATGTATTGTAAAGTATTTTCTTTTATCACTTTGCAACATTTAATCAACATTTGATTGCTCCAATATTTATCAGGCCTCAAATACTGAAACACTGTTCTGAATGCAAATATATCTTTGCTTACCTCTGTTAACATTATTAGACCAAGGAAAAAGGACACGATTGAAAGAGCAAGAATCAACAGTTCTCGTCTGTATCCCCTCCGGAAAACCTTCGGATACATATCCACTACAGCTGTCACAAGACTTTCAACGCACACAAACTGGGTAAAAGAAAGGCAGGAGAGAAAGGACACAACATTACATTACCTATCATTTCTACAGCACATGCCAGGGTACACTTTCTCCATCATTTACAGCCAGTCTTGTTTCAAAGGTATGTCAAATGTATTCCTCTATGCTTTCAATTTATCATACATGTGACATGTGTTTGCTGGAACTGGGACAGAGCACTATTTGAGGGGTTGGATTGTTCCTTCTCAAATTCTTCAAAGACCTAGCAAGAGCTGCTTGCATGGCAGTTCTAAATGATTTTCCTCAGTGTTGAAGTTCCACAGCAGAGTCCTATCTATAATATAAAGCCTACTATAAAAAATAATTGGCTAGGCAGCAGCTGGCCCAAGGCAAAGAATTTCAATGCTCAGGAGAGATTTCAGTGCAAAATTTTCCTGTCAAATCCAAAACTATTACATAGTCACTCCAGTCTTCTTCACAAATAAAGGATGCCAGTTCTGGTCTTCTGTCCCCTGCCACAGTTGAGGGAATGATGATATAACAATTCCAGGATGGATCCAACAGCTCGGGCTTGGTTTGCCTCTTCCAAAAGGACAGGATAGTATAGATCAGGGGTCCTCAAACTAAGGCCTGGGGGCCAGTTGCGGCCCTCCAAGGTCATTTACCCGGCCCTCGCTCAGGGTCAACCTAAGTCTGAAATGACTTGAAAGCACACAACAACAGCAATCCTATCTCATCAGCCAAAAGTAGGCCCACACTTCCCATTGAAATACTAATAATTTTATATTTGTTGAAATTGTTCTTCATTTTAATTATTGTATTGTTTTTAAGTGTTTTTTTGCAGTACAAATAAGATATGTGCAGTGTGCATAGGAATTGATTCCTTTTTTTTCAGATTATAATCTGGCCCTCCAACAGTTTGAGGGACTGTGACCTGGCCCTCTGTTTAAAATGTTTGAGGACACCTGGCATAGATCAATCATTTGTCCGGACACTTCAACCAATTCCACCTGCTCTATATCTTTATTGGCCAACCAAAATGCAAAACACATGTTGCAAACCTTTTGTGAATTTTAGTAGGCCAATAAAAGTGTTGTTCTTCTGTAGGTTTTGAATTTGCTTTGTTTTGATGTATGGCCAAAACAACTACCCCTGAATATATTTTTATTAAGAAATGACAGTCCTCTAGATCTTAAAGCATGGGTCAGGACCCCAAATGAGGTCACCATAGCTGTATGCTGGRATCGCCTAACTTTTTAAAACTGTGTGTGTGTCTCTACTTTTCCTGCTCCCCCTCCCATGCATCTTTATGCTTTCCCTTCTCTCCCTGCTCCACCCCCCCCCCCCCATGCATGTCTCCCTTCCTCCTTCCTTCGTTCCTCTCTATCCTTCTCTCTATCTCTAACATGTATGTCTCTCTCCCCTTCCCCCTTTTCTCCATCCTTTATATATTTGGGGTCAAATAAACATTTCTTGGGTAAAAAGGGGTCAGAAGTCAAAAAGGTTTAAGAAGCTCTGATCTGGATAAGTCACAGGACTTTGGGCTGTATATCTTTTGATTAATGCCATACTATCCTTGATTCTCCCTTCTCTTCCCTCTGCAACATCACCATTGTCCATACCGTACAATTCTCAGAAGAAAGGATATGCCTTTTTGTTTATAAAGTATTAATGCCATGTATTTGTAAGTACCATCTTTATAGTATCTTATGGTACTTTTATCGGCTTCACAATACTATTCTGAAATACTGATAAAAACTGTGCAAAACACACTTGCATTATACACAATCTGCATGTGGAAAGGGAGCTGGGGATGAGAAGGAGTGGCTTTCTAAAGAGCATTTAGCAAGTCAGATTTCAGGTATAAAAAGAAAGTTGAACACTTTTAGCCAAAATAACACAAGGAGAAGAAATGCAGAACTGGGGAGTGAAAGCTATATCATCTTTACATTTAAAATCTTGATTTTAGAGTATGTATTTCACCTCCTTTTCAACCCTGCTTCATCCTTTAAAGATACTACCACATTTTTGTGTCTGGCATAAACCATTCTTCCCTGACAGCCTGTTTCCTGAATGTTCGAATGAAAGCTACCTGATTGTCATTCCTGTTTAATAATTACCTGCCTCTGCCATTGTAAACATCAGAACAGCTATTCAATAACATCAATCTATGTTTATGTAAAATTAACTTTCAATTCATACCTGACTGTCTAATCCAAGGAATATGAGCATCATGAAAAATAATGTTGCCCATAATGGAGAAAGAGGCATCATTGTCACAGCTTTTGGATAAGCAATAAAAGCTAGTCCAGGCCCTGAAAAAAGGAAATAAATGCATTTTAGTATGAAGCTCCTCATATTAACATTAATAATAATAATAATAATAATAATAATAATAATAATAATAATTTTATTTTTGTATTCCGCAACAATCTCTCTGATGGGACTCGGGGCAGCTTACTTTGGGACCAAGCCCAGTCAACCAGAGTTAAAATGTAACACAATAAAATGCATATAAAATACCATAAAACATAATTAAAAACATAATTCATCATACAGCAACCAGTAGCCAAGCATAATGGTCATTTCCAAGCTAAGGGGCGAGGGAAAGGCTTGTGCAATGCAACTGTCAGGACAGAGCTGATGGCAAAGGTGTGAGAGGTAGATGATAAATTAAGGCTGGAAGGGTCAAGTCAGATTTGTACAGTACATCTGATATTCCTGATTCTAGTATTTATTTTTATTGGCCACTGTGCCTTTAGAGAATAAACTTTCCTGAAATTCTGAAGCCTGTTGTTTTTAAAAAAGAAAAAGCAACAATAGTGAAATGGGGAGAGGGGGGATGAAGTATGTAAAATGTGTTTCCATCAAACCTAAAGTTATTTTACTGTTTTAAATCTGCTAGTCTCAACTAAAGTGGCTCAATAAAAATCATAATTTACCAAAATTTACCATCCCATTGATTCAGGTAGGACTACTAATCACACACTCTAGGCAGGACTAGCAATCAAATGAAGGGAGCTGGGGGTGGTAACGGCCGACAGGGAGCTCTGGCGTAGGCTGGTCCATGAGGTCACGAAGAGTCGGAGATGACTGAACGAATGAACAACAACACACATTATATTATTTAGCGTATGAATGAAATTTTAAATGCACAAGCCTTAATTGCAAACCAAGAGAGGGAAAGCTGAAAATTAAGCACCTGTAGCTCAGTTTTTAACATCTGATAAGGAAAAAAAAATGAAACCCAAAATTTCATATTAATCAAAATAAGAAATTTTGGACAGAAAATCCAAATCCTGCTGGTAGGGTTTAGCAAACAAACGGTACTCACATAGAATGTGGAGCCAGCTTTATTGCTTCTACACAGACGAAGGAAAAAATAACACTACTAATTTCCCTTTTACATTCAATCCCTTTTATCGTGTTTCTCTCTCCTCCCCTTCCAAACCCTTCCATAGCCCTCTCCACCTCCTGTGAACAATTTCTCTTGATTAACACTTCTTCGCAGGACTGCTCTCCTCCTCCAGATTCCTTTGTTGACACTGACCTTGCTTCAGGTATGTTGGCAGGGCAGGAGTCAAATGCTTATTTTCTCAAGCTTTGAATAATGTTCTGACAGGTCTCATATAGGCAGAATTTTATAGACAACTTTAAACGTATATTTAAATATAAATTTATATTAAATATTGAAATCTTCAGTTGTGTCTTAGTATCTTAAACAATGAATGCCAGTCAGCTGTCCCCCATGCTCCTTTCATGAAGATAGCAATCCACCAGGTGCAAAAAATGCATTTTGGCTATCGTGTCTTATCTAAACCTTCTCTTTTGCAGACTAAAAATTATTTTCCTTTTTTCCACTGCTCTTGAAAGGGAACACATTCATAAAGGAGAATGAGAAAGATACCAAGGGAAGTGCATTTTAGAAAGATACACAGCTTTGCAAGCATGAACAAAAACATAATATAGATGGTTTTAAAAGTCCTAGCTCCTAGAAAAAACATTATAGGTAAAAAGTCGGCACAGATAATACTGTAGTGGAGATCAGTAGTTCTGAAACAGTGCTCCATGGAGCCCTTAAGTCTTCACGCTTCCTTGCTCCTCCCCTCTCCTCTTTCTCCAAGTGCACGGTGCTGGGGAAGGAAGGGGGTGGTTGGCTGGTTGCTTCCCCACCGCCGAATGGGATTGGATTGGAGTTAATGCTACTACTACTACTACTACTACAAGACTGAAAATCCATCTGTTGGGGGGTGATTTGATTTGTGCTTTTACTGCATGGCAGAAGGGGATTAAACTGGATGACCCCTGGGGTCTTTCACGGAAATACTGTTTAGTTTATGTTGTTAAAATTGTTCTTCATTTTAACTATTGTATTGTTTTTTCTTCTTTTTTGCACTACAAATGAAATATGTACAGTGTGCACAGGAATTTGTCCATATTTTTTTCAATTAGTTCACACAAACATTCTCCATCCATCTGCCACTGGCCCAGCGCATCTATCTAATTTTAAAACACAATGTGGCCCCTTGTGTCCAAAAGTTTGACCATGTGATATATATAATATAATATAATATTCATTCAGCCTCCATAGGAAATTTTCTTTCAAAAAAGGGTTCCACAGTTGAAAAAGTTTGAGAATCCCTGATGTAGATAGTCCTAATCACCGTTGTGTAATATATATTAAGAACCCAAGAATTTTTAATTTTGAAAGATCCCTCTCCCTCTTAAATTAAGAAATATATTTTTTACTAATTTCTTCTGTCAAACTGAGGAAGAATTTCACAGATGACTTTCACTTTTCTGTACTTAAGAAAACATTTTCCACACAGATAAAAAAATCCCATTTAGTCCTCCACTCCACCAGGTTAATACAAAAAGACGTAAGCCAGAAGCTGATTAATATGAAACGTGATTTTCTAACATACCTGATTCTGCAACTTCTGCTATGGGTACCCCCTGTTCAAATGCCATAAAGCCAAGGACAGAAAAGATGGCAAAACCAGCAACAAAGCTTGTGCCGCTGTTCAAACAACACAACATAATGCAGTCTCTGTGGATAAAGAGTAGAATAATTATTTATTTTACATTTGTCACTTTACTTCATGTGATTATTTCAACTCAATTAATATTTGGTACTAATTACTAGAAAAATCAGAAACCTAGAGTGCATCTAATTCTATACTGTAGAATTAATGCAGTTTGACCCCACTTTAACTGCAATGACTCAATGCTATGGAATCCTGGGATTTATACTTTGTGAGCATTCTTTGACAAAGAGGGCAACTGACATTATAAATCTATTCCATAGCATGGAGGCATGGCAGTCAAAGTGGTGTCAAACTGCATTCATTTTACAGGGTGCATACTCTCTTAGACTTCATTCAAAAGAAGTAGATTTAACAAGTCATTAAGCTTCTCCCACCACAGGAAGCTGGAGCTTTCATTAAGAGAAAAGTCTGAAGATGCTACTAAAAGATTGGATATCAAAATGCTACTAAAAGATTGGATATCAGGAGAGCAATCAGGCTTTCTGCCAAACAGACAGATAAAAGACAATACCCGATTAATTATAAATACCATCGAGTACTACGAAAAACACAATGAGAAGCAATTGGCATTGTTATTTATCGATGCTGAAAAAGCATTTGATAAGATTAATTGGGATTACTTAAAACTACTATTAAAGGAAATTGACATCGGACACAGTTTCAGCAATGCAGTGGAGGCCATTTACACAAAACAGGAGGCTACCCTAATCATTAACGGGCAAGAATCAAATACTATAATACAAATTGGCCAAGGGACACGACAAGGATGTCCATTATCACCGTTGCTATTTATTTTAATAATGGATACTATGATTAAAAATATAAATGAGGACCCTAACTTAAAAGGAATGAAGATCCAAAAATATCAATTTAAACTAAAGGTCTATGCAGACGATGTGGTCTGTATAGTTGAAGACCCCTTAAAACACATAAATAATTGGATAAAGAAAATTGAAATATTCGGAAACTTAGCTGGGTTTAAACTCAACAAACAAAAAACGAAGATGTTAGTCAAGAATTTGGATAAAAAGTCTAAAGAACTACTGCAAGAAAAATCCGGTATAAAAATTGAAAACAAAATAAAATATTTGGGGGTGACCATAACCTCAAGCAATATTAACCTATTAAAAAACAATTATGAATCTTTATGGAAATCTATCAAAAAAGACATAGAAAGATGGAAATATCAGAATTTATCTATATTAGGTAGAATCGCCACAGTTAAAATGAATATACTCCCCAAACTGCTCTTTCTGTTTCAAACATTACCTGTTATAAGAAATGACCACTTATTCAAAAAATGGAAATCGGAAATAACCAAATTCATTTGGAAGAATAAGAAAGCCAGAGTCAGTTACAAAATTTTGACGGATGAAAAAAAAAGGGGAGGCTTGGGTTTACCAAACTTCAAAGCATACTACGAAGCATGTAACTTAGTAGGGATCAAGGAATGGACTACCTTAAAAAATAAAGAATTACTAGCATTGGAAGGATTTGATCTCAGATTTGGATGGCATGGGTATATTTGGTATGAAAAGAGGAAAGTAGAAAAGAGCTTTAATAATCACTACATAAGAGCTGCGTTAATTAAAACCTGGGAGAAACACAAACCAAGACTCTATAAAAAGACACCGACATGGATATCCCCGTTAGAGGCAAGACACAAAAGAGAATTAAGCTGTGAAAATTGGTTAACATATAATCAAATTCTAAAAGTAACAGAGGAGAGAAAACTAACCATCAAATCGGTAGAGGAAATTAAGTTAATAAAACCTAACTTCACATGGCTACAGTACCATCAATTGCATGAGAGTTTTAGGATAGATGAAAAGCTGGGCTTCTGCCAAGAAAAAGGATTTTGGGAAGCGATCATGCAAAAAGAAAGAAATYTAATTAAATTGTTATACAAACAACTGTTATGTTGGGAAACGGAAGAGGAACAAATTAAAGATTGCCAGATAAAGTGGGCAAAGGACATAGGACATAGTTTATTGTTGAAGCAGTGGGAAGAAATTTGGAATAGGAAATTAAAATACACAACAGCCAGCATTTTGAAAGAGAATTGGTACAAAATGTTTTTTAGATGGCACTACTATCCAGAAAAAATTGCTAAATTTAACAAATCCATTTCAAATAAGTGCTGGAAATGTCAAAAAGAAATAGGGACATATTTCCACCAATGGTGGCTATGTAAAAAAGTAAAGAAGTTTTGGAGAGAAATACACTTAGCCACACAAAAAAATCCTAAAAACCAATTTTCCATCATCACCTGAAATGTACCTATTAGGCTTTTCTTACCCAAAATTTAATATAAATCAGGACAGGATATTTTTTATGCTAAGTACAGCGGCCAGGATAATATTGGCTAAATTTTGGAAGCAAAAAGAGACCCCAAAAATCGAAGATTGGATTTTAAAAATATTTGATATAATACAAATGGACAGTTTATCGCAACATCTGAACAACTCGTCAAAAAAGACAATCTGGGAAGGTTTCAAAGACTTTATTGTATCCAAAAAGAAGATGACGCTTACGATAGACATATCCAGCATTTGAGGAAGATGCATGCATCGAAGTAACGCCGGTAATGAGGGAAATGTAGATACATAGCTAACTACTATAATGAACTCTTTGAAGATGATGGGAAGTCACAGCACAGGGGGGGGGGGGTAAGGGTGGTAGGGTTCACCCTGGGTTGGGACTGCACTTTCGTATGATTGCAGGTTTTTTTTGGGTTTTTTTTTTTCGTTCTTCAACCCTTCTAGGGGTCTTCTTTTTCTCTTTCTTCTCCACGACTTATTATTATTGCTTAATTGCTTTGCTTTGCATTACTTTATACTACTTTAATCCTTATATTTTATGTAAATGGAAACTTGCACAATAAAAATCATTGCCCAAAGTTTACTTTGTCTTTCATCACTAGCTAGCAAAGTTAGCTTTCAGAAATCCCTCAGTGGGAACACTAACACCACAGCTAGAAAGCCAATCAGAAGTGGTGAGGAGAGGCAAAGATATTGAGATGGACTACAATTTCTTAATAAATCACATGTTTGAAATTAATGAATATTTAAAGCTTTTTGAATATTGAAAATGATATATGTCTAATTAACTTTTATAAGGCTCAAGACAAATCACAGAAAAGCTTAGCTTTAAAAAAGGCAATAAAGTAAGGACATGAAAGAGGTATATAGAATCATGTTTTCTCCTTCTCCTATAACACTAAAATTCAGAGTAACCCACGGCATGGTGGGAGATTCATGATGGACAGCACATATTTAAATTACTGGATTTACTGCTACCTCAGGTATGTTCTTATGTGCCCTCGGGTTGACTCTGACCTATCACGATCCTTCCTCTAAGGCTCAAAGAGTGTGACTTGCCTAAGGTTGCCAAGTAAGTGTCAACGACTGAAATGGGAGCCAATTCCAGGTGTCTCAAAGTCCTAGTACAACACTTAAACCATCCAAACCATGCTGGCTCTCACTACATGATGCAAAGATGGTCACTAACTTCATAAGTAGATTAAATAAATCTATTGAAGTTAATGAGTTGTCATCACAAGTTCTTTATATATCTAAGGCAGGGATGCCTGAAGTCGGCCCATGTTCAAATTTCCACTGACGCACAGCCTCTGTCATAAAAATCAATAATATACGGCCTGCCAACAGTATTGATTGCCATATAAAATATATGCATACAAAGAAGCTCAGTGAATTGATTTTTTGTGAGGATCAAAACCACAGTTTTGAATATGCACTGAATCTTTTCAATCTGTGTATCATTTGTTCTTTTGTTTTTCAATTGACAATCAAATAGGGTCTTGTAAACCTGACACATTAAATATTAAAATCAAATTAAGTCTGCCAGTCCATTTTTCCATTTTGTATTTTTAATTCCAGTCTAAATTTGAAATAATGAAAAACACTGCCTTTTCCATATTTGATATCTGGTTCAAAATCAAATAATATACTTCCCTTTTTTATTTTTGATGGTTAACTTTAAAACGAAAGAACAAGTGATACACAAATTCATATGGCCCTCAATGTTTTATACTTCTGAATAAGATAACTTACCATTATTTTCCTGTTCACGTGTTTTGAATTTAAAGTCTACAGTGAGCATGAGCATTTAACAGTGAATAATATGTAATGTTTCAAATGAACCTAGATAAGTTTAATCTTCCTGGAAGTTTTTTTTTCTAGACAGACAATTTTTTCTTTTTATAAGGTCTTCAAATATTAAAGGCAGAGTGATTTTGTTAAAAACTTGTTTAGATTTATTTGTGTTCTATGTGAAGAAATGAAAAGTATGCCATTTGCAATACAAATTTCATTAAAAAGTTCATTTGTATTTAATGTTAGTGATCCAAAGAATGTCAGGCTGAATGGTTAGCCCCCACATATTTCACCTCACGGCAACTGGCCCTCTTTCTAAAAAGATCTAAGACAACATGCCACTATAGATTTGATCATGAACATACACAGAAATGGGTAGTTGTACTAATATCCTGCCTGTGTGCAAACAGAATAAATAAATCTGATCTAATGTGGCTCTTCCTATGAGGTCACATATATATCCTTATAGGAAGCACCAAAGTACTGACTTATCTGGTATACACACACATATCCATATTGCTTTGAGGCGGGCAAAAGCCCTGAAGGCTTCCCCAAAGCAGCGACTGGAAATTGTGGTACCTTTTGCAAATTGGAATTCCTTGCTTGTTTCACTTACAGTACAATGATATTAGTTTTACACTCTAAACTATGTGGGAGTTGTAAGATTTGTTTGCTTCCTTAGATTAGCTCCCAATGCGCCAGAATATGCTGAAATCTATTTTCAAACTTCAGATAATAATATTCTTCAGTCCCATGATAAAGCACTTCAGCCTTAACATCAAAGCACGGGTGTCATGTTATGAACTGAACAGCTGCTAAATAAACGTGAATGGTGCATATTTTATTATTCAGTGAAATATGTTCAACAACTGGTAACAGTTGTAGGTTACAGCTTAATTGGGGAGAGCATGATTTAACTACAAAAAGTCTCTTAGGTTTAGGGGGAAAGATGCTTTCAAAATCTAAATCAAGATAATGGCCACATGTTTCACATATAGCAGCAAAGGAACTGTGTTTATTATATATACTTGTGTACAAGTCAACCTCAGGAATAAGTCAAGGACATGTTTGGAGGGCAAAATTATGGATTTTGATATGATCCGTGGATAAATCGAGGGTCATTACGCAGAGAGGGGAAAGCTCCCCAGCTACAACCACCACTACCATTTTTCCCACACAAGCATTCAAAAAAGCCAAAACAGGATTGGGTTGGAGAGCAGAAGGGATTGGGGCTTCTTTCAGGTTCTTCCAGAAAGAAACAAATACTTGCTTTTTACCAAATGGATCTTTTAAAAATAAGCATCAAGCTCCAGGTTTTTTGGGCTGGTCTCTGAATAAAATGTCCAAACTTATATATGAGTACATAGGTATTTATTCAAATCCAATAAATGCCACATGTAGGACTGGAAAATGAAAACTGTAGTTTAGATATGTAAATTTGATTAATTATATTCTAAATCCTTTATTAACCTTTATTAAGCTAAATGAAAGGCAGAAACATTATAATGGTTGTTTTCAATGCTGACTGGCTTCTTTATTGGGAGTCTCAATTAGGCAAGAGGATAAAAATCATACAAAGAAATAAAAGTGACATTGTTGGAGGCCTACATATAGCTTTTAGAGATGTTACAGAGAATCTCTGCAGAAAGAAGTTCAGACCCTGCCTCCCAAAAAAACAATGCTGTCATGTCACTTGCAAGAAAGAAAATAAAAGAGATGAATAACATTTTCTATCTACATTCCATATCAATAAATTTTCAAATCATCACAGAGAACATTTTGGGAACAGGCAGGGCATCTATACTATCTCAAGGCTCATCTACACAGACATGCAAACTGGAGTTCCAGACTGTTTTCACAATATTCCTCCACTTCTGGTGAAGAAGGTAAACAGGATTGATCCTGTTTTTTCCCACTTCAGGAAATCTAATGGGATGCTTCAGAATTTGCAAGAGAGAGAGAGAGAGGGAGAGCATATTGTGACAGTGTCACTACCACTTATTTATTTATTTATTTATTTATTCATTTACTGTATTTGTATACCACCTTTCTCAGCCAATCGGCGACTCAAGGCGGTTTCCAACAAATCAGTACATATAAAAACACAATACAGATTAAAACATTAAACAATAGAAAACACCACAAAAGCAATAAAAACAACATCGTTAGCTTCTCATTATTATCAAGCATTGTCCAGTTCCATTGTCAAATCATTCGATTTCCTATATCAGCTACTCTGCATTTGTAAATGTTTGCTCGAACAGCCATGTTTTAACTTGCCTCTGAAACGTTAAGAGGGAGGGAGTAGATCTAATCTCCCTAGGGAGGGTGTTCCATAGCCGAGGGGCCACCACTGAGAAGGCCCTATCTCTCGTCCCCGCCAAACATACTTGAGACGAAGGCGGGACCAAGAGCAGGGTCTCCCCAGACGATCTTAGAGTCCTTGATGGTTCGTAAGGGGAGACAAGTTCAGACAGGTAAGTTGGGCCAGAACCATTTAGGGCTTTATAGGCCAAAGCCAGCACTTTGAATTGGGCCCGGTAGCAAACCGGCAGTCAGTGGAGCTGGCGCAACAAGGGGGTTGTATGCTCCCTGAGCTCTGCTCCTGTTAGCAACCTCGCTTCTGCTCATTGAAGCTTCCTAGTTGAAGCTTCCGGACCGTCTTCAAAGGCAATCCCACATAGAGAGCGTTGCAGTAGTCTATACGGGATGTAACCAGAGTGTGGACTACCATGGCCAAGTCAGACTTCCCAAGGTACCATTGCCCCTGGCATATGGGCATCTCATGCAGATATTAGCAAATATGCCCATATGACCTGGATGAAGGTAGAGATTGGATCCCTTCTTCCTTGTCAGGTGAGTACTGCTGCTGATATCAACATAGGGTGTTAATGACATCCAGGAAGTCACATGGAGCTTTAACACCAGGTGAATGTGGCAACAGCAACACAGAAGGTGAGGGGATGGTCCAGTGGAGCCAATGCAGTTTTATGTTAGCTGGACTGTGCAAATTCCAATACACCACTGTAGTAGGTTCACAAGAACATGTGTGGATGCCTCTGGAACCAGTCTGAAGCATTTCTACTTGATTTATTGGCTAGTGTAGACACAGCCTCAGGCAAATAAGATGCTGATCTCCAACAATGTCACTTGTCTTCTGACAGATATTTTTTTACTATCTTTACCTCCTGAAGAAGCCTGGGATTTTTTAAAAACTGGTGTACTGTATCTCCTGTTTGGACTATAAAAAAGTTATCATCACAACATAGATCTTGTATTTTGATTATGGTCTGCATCTTTTTTTTCAATTTGAATAATTATTTGCTGCCCATTGCAACTGAATGTCTATATTGTGAAGGTAATCCATAGAGATCCTCCCTCTTGTTTATGGAACATGCTTGCTATATTTATATAGCAGAGTAAGTAGACAAGCTATTAAACTTTTGGTTATCTCTGTAGCCTATAACTTTGACATTTCTCTATTTTGCCTACACATTTCTTCTACGAATTTATTCTCAATCTCTCTCTCTCTCTCACACACACACACACACACAAAACTTAAACATTTCCTTCAAGATGCCTCAGTGTCCTAATACCAACATTCTAATTGAGTTGGATAAAATGCATTAAATATTATGGCAATATAATACTAAATTTTAATATGAAAAATCAGAATATTTTTTCAATTTTTTTAATTAATGTTCTCATAAGATGTGCAATATAGTGTTTGATTATCTTTAGCAATGCACTTACATTGTGATAATACACTTGCAGATTTGTTAACAGATTTATTAATATGTCATTTTTAAAACAAAAAAAGATAAACTGATCAACTGAGCCAAATCAACTAAGAGATAATCATTTAATTTTGTAAAACAGCAGTCTGTGAGGGGGGAGGATGGAGGAAGAAATATTAATTTAGGATAATAAAAGAGAACATATTAATCTGAATTAGAACAATGTTAGCATCCCTTGCAGCTCTGTGATTTTGGGATACAGTACTTGCAGGTTAACAGCCAGGGATAAGTATACACTAGGGGGAGCCAATGATCTATTCTCAAATTCTCTCTGCATGAATATAAAGTTAATGTCACCCAGCAGCTCTTAGCTGTTCTGGCAAAGAGCTGCTGTGTGACATTAACTTTATATTCACAAGAGTCAGGTGTTATGAAACAGGCTTGACTCTTGTTCTTTCCATTAACATTTACTTTACACATACACAATTAGCATGCTTCAAAAAGAACTGTATGCATTTCAGCCCAAAATGTATGATTTAAATATAATTTCAGATGCAACAATAAAGAACTGAAACACGAATATATCATTTGTTGCTTTAGAACAATTTGTAGATAAGTGCAACATCTAAAACAAAGACATCCCACCAGCATATGCTGACTTTAATTATGTACTTCTGGTATGCAGAAACAGAGTTTGCTAGAGAACTTGAAGTAGGTCATTTGCGAAAATGATAAGAAATTCATGCTAGTTATAGTAGGCTACATTTTGTGTTATGTGAGTCATCTTCAACTCATGAAGACAGGCTTTTTTCCTTTCCTGTCTCCTGCAATTCCCATTGCCACTCCCCAAATCTGTTCAACAGGATATTGTTTTGAATACAGCATCTTAAGATGTATACTGCATGTGTCACACTGAATGCATCCTTCAAATGGAGCATCAGCACATTTTCTATAGATCGACATGAATTGTTACAAATTTAATTGATAAGAAAATTAAAATCTTCAATTCCAATTAACAACAAATTACAAGTGGTTTCAAAATGTATCTAAATATTTCATTGTGTTGATACCTAAGTCCTCAACATGCTAAAATAGGGGTGGGCCATTTTTGGACTGCTACATGTCAGATTTTAACTCCCAGGAGCACTAGCAAGCTCAGACTATGATGAGTTATCATGAATGTTTGCATGTTGTCTATCACTGCATTCAAACGGTGTGCCTGTATGCACTTATGTACAAAAGTGTGAGTGAATACTTCTCTAAATAGTACTAGTCCTGTCTATCTATTCTGCAGATAGAACTGTACACATATTCATTTTTTGCTAGACTAGAGCCTAATCTGATAGACAGACAAATGACAGACACAGTAGCTGCATTTTACCTGTAACAGTTATTATTATAGTTGTTGTAGCTCCCTAGGGCTGTCAAGCATCCCAGACAGATGGCATAAGAGAAAAAGATCTGTGTTCCAGCATCCACCCAGACCTGCAAGTAGAAAACACAGCATTAGGAAAGGAAAACAAAGAACACAATTTTATCTTTGAGAAACATGTAGATATATTTTACAAATTAATTCTAGATACAATGTCTGATTCCCCAGTTATACCTAATTTGGTTAGGCGCATTAAGTTGCAAAATATATATTTAACAAAGAAAGAGAACGTAAATTATTATTAGCTTTCCTTGATTAATATAACCCCCTTCTTCTTGCCATCCTCATCCTCAGTGAGCACCAGCACTTCCTCTCCCCCTGTCCCCCGCTTTTGTCATAAATCCTACTGTAAGTTCTGAGAACTCTGTAATACCTATTTTTAATTTTCAACCATTACTTCTAAGTACATTCAGAAGAAAATATATTCAGTCAGGAGCAAAAGGGCACAGTAAGATTCTTGTGCAAGGTAAGAGGGATGAAATCCAGAAGTACATTTGTGTTTGCATAGTGGGTAGCAAGTAGAGTTGCTGTATTGCATATTTTAGACATGTCGCTCAGATTCTAGGCATGCATGTTTGGACCAACGTTTGCCCAGATTCCAAGCTTTCATTTTTATAAAATAATTTTCTAGCCCCTGAGTGAAAGAAGCAAGCAAGTGGGTCACTGTGAGGTTTTGAGATGTGCAAGGGAGGGAGTAGGAGAGATGGGAGAATCAGCCGTGTGAGCAGCAGCACACAAGGAGCAATTGAGGGTTACATTGCATCCTATGGTTTCACAATAGTTTTGTCATTATACACTATAATTTGAGCTTTTAAAAATCAATGTGTAATGTGAAACAAAGGAGGAGATAGGAAAATAACTAGCACAAGCAAGAAGCAAGGACATAAGGAGAAGCATGCACAAATAGGAGAGAAGAGAAAGGAGGGAAGGAAAGGTGAGAGATTCAGTGAAAAGCATGAAATGAGCATGAGAAGTAGGCATGATGAGGGAATTATGGTATCAAGTAGTGAAGAAGGCAGGGAGATGCAGCAAAGACCGAGAGAATGGGGCCATGCAGATTAATGAATAAGGCGTACCCTTGGTTCACTCCTGATATAATAAAAAATAAAATGAATAGGGTTGAGGCTAGTTAGAAGCGCAAGAGTATCAAAGGTCCTCCAGGATGAGAGAAACAGTGACATGTATTGTATTGTCGAAGGTTTTCATGGCAGGAATCACTGGGTTGCTGTGAGTTTTTTGGGATGTATGGCAGTGTTCCAGTAGCATTCTAACATTTTGCCTGCATCTGTGGCTGGCATTTTCAGAGGTTCTGTTGGCTGTGAAGCCAGTGGAGTGTATATATCCCTGTGAAATGTCCAGAGTGGGCAAAAAAGCCCATTGAATGGTTAAAGCAAGTCTGAATGTTGCAATTAGCAAGACACTGTAGGATTCTACCATACTGTGCAACCCTGGACAAGTCTACATAGGGACCACCGCCTTGACAGGAATCAAAGAACACAAAAGGCACTGCAGACTAATTCAATCAGAGAAGTCAGTTATAGCAGAGCACATGATAAACCAACCTGGACACAGAATATTGAGAACACAAAAATTCTGGACCACTCTGATAGCCATCATATCAGACTACACAAAAAAAACCCATTGAAATCCACAAGCATCTGGACAATTTCAACAGAAAAGAGGAAGCCATGAAAATGAATAATATTTAAAAACAACAACAAACGAATCAAGGCAGTGAATGGCAAACACCACTCAGAAGCAGGAGAATGCCAGAGAACAAGCAATCAAGGGCCAGTTAACACCTCTCAAACAGAGGATGCCTCTAGGCAACAAAGGCCAGGCTACCTCTATGCAGATACCATCACTGCAGATACCCTAATGGTTCAGGCCCAGACTATCTGAAAGACTGCATCTCCATATACAAACTATCACGAGTGCGTTGATCAGCCAAGGAGGCCCTCCTCTCAGTCTCACTCCCATCTCAAGTGTGGCTGGTGGGAACGAGAGAGAGGGCCTTCTCCGTGATTGCTCCTCAGCTCTGGAACTTCCTGCCTAAAGAACTAAAAATGGTCCCCTCACTCCTCTACTTTAAAAAGCTATTAAAACACATCTATGCATTTTAGCTTATGTAGAGGAGGAAAAATCCATCTGTTATTGAAAACTATTTCTTCAGTGGACCACAAAGAGTTTCCATCAGTTAAGGAAAAAACACAAGTTTGTCCATTGAGATCTTTTGCTCATTGAGCCAGTGAATGTAACAATAACCTTCCTGAATTGTTTAAGAGGGCAAAAAGAACAGGAAACATTAAGATTCTATGATTTAATCAAAGGTCATGTTTTTGAAGAAGCTGTTGTACTTGCAGTTGTCTCAGTACCAGTAACCCTAAGTAAAGCATGTTCTGATGAATAATTGAAATTGCTACAGATCAGCAGAACATATGAAGAAAAAAGTATAAAATCAATTACGTACATTAATCTTTAATATAAATCATTAGCTTTCAATCATTAAATGAATGACTGTTTAAAACAGCCTCAATTTGTCAATGCCTCCTATTATCCCCTCCCCATTAATTAAAAAAAAAGGATTTTTATAAAACAATGGATTTAAAATATATTGTGGAAATATTAATGAATTTGGGGGTAGGTACTGAACATACCTGTTTGTGGGCATTTTTAAATATTCCCTAAAGCTAGTATTGCCGCAATATCTCCGACATTTCTAGGCTTTTTAATATATAGCTTTAGTTTTTTCCTTAATTGGTACTGATATCTTGGGAGACACATAGAGCGAAAATATTTTATATTTTCCATGGCATGTATAAGTTTATATAGTTCTGTCATTTCTCACTTATTTTTTCTAAATGTGGAAGGTCTTATCACTGTAGGATAGATAAGCCAGCTTCTCCACTATTTTGAGTATCTGTGGTATTATTTTTAGGGTAAAATATACAGAATTCTACATACTGTACCAAATACAGAACAACGTTGTCTGTTTTTATTATCATAATATTGTAATGTCAGTACAACTACTGCTTCACAAATATTGATTTTCAATAACTTGCCCTAATCACTTCAAGATCATGTCAAAAAAGTGACAACCCAGTAAAATTTAAAAACATACAATCTATATAACTGACACTCAGTTAATTAAAAAATGTAATATATAAGTTATGACTACCATTTTAGAAAAATCAAAACTATGAAGCTGATTCTGTGTGCTCAAGTGACTTATTGTGTCTATCAAAAGCTTCCACACTTCATGAAAAATTACTTTTGAAAATCTGAGGAGTGCCAAAGTCATTATGTAATATGTCAGAGATGTCAGCTGTTCAAACTTAAAATTAAAAACAAACAAATAAAATCCTGATTAGCTAGTTGCAATTCTCTTGGTTAGAGAAGTCATTACAATTACCAAAATATTCCTCAAAGGCAGCAATATCTTTAGCTTGGTAATAAATTATCTCTGAAGATCTTGTAATACAATATTTTGTGTGAAAAACAAATTGGTTTCATTTAACTATCATAGAAATTAAAACCTTGAAAACACAACTATTCTCAGATACTGTTGAAAGGCAGAAGCATTTGTGTTTAAAAGCACCATTAACTTCACATTTAATTTGCAACACGAAGTAAATCATTCCACTGCAGTCATGAAGAATAAAATATAGCTGATTATATCACTAAGATTACTCAGAAATGAGAAAGTAGATAAGTAAAGCATTTTGACAGAGTGTGATGAGTAGGAACTTTTAGGCCCCTTCCACACAGCTCTATAAAATCCACACTGAACTGGATTATATGGTAATGTGGACTCAGATAACCCAGGGCCCTTCCACACAGCCATATATCCCAGAATATCAAAGTAGAAAATCCCACAATATCTGCTTTGAACTAGGTTATCTGAGTCCACACTCAGATAATGTACGATTTTCTGCCTTGATATTTTGGGATATATGGCTGTGTGGAACGGCCCTTAGAAAGCCAAATGCTATCTAAGGCAACTGAAAACACCTGAAAACATACGAAGCATTCTTCTGGTGTCTGCTCAAAATCATTTTGTAATGAATTGCCTAAAATGATGGTTATATTTTATTGCACTTGCTGCTTTTCTTCTGTTTCCATTGTGACAACATAGTTTTGATATTTTATTATTTTAATTAACTATTCATATTGCCCTAGTATCTATAAAGATTAGATTCTAAAATGTGCAAAAATCCCAGAAGAAAAACACAAAACATGGGCATGTGGTACAAGCAGACTTAAAGCAGCTCTCTCTCAGGGCCCTTCCACACAGTTAGATATCCCAGAATATCAAGGCAGAAAATCCCACAATATCTGCTTTGAACTGGGTTATCTGAGTCCGTACTGCCGTATATTCCAGTTCAAAGCAGAAACTGTGGGATATTATTCAGATGTGGAAAGGGCCTTAGATCTATTCTCTGCATTTAAAAAAATGATAACCCACACACTGTTGTGATGATTTCTATGCAATTATTACTTCTGAGTTACGAACATCCAACTTACAAATGACTCATAGTTAAGAACGGGTGTGAGAAAACAGAAAGTGAGCCAATCTACCCCTAGGATAGAAAATTCTCATGGGGAAAAGGCGTCTCCACTGAAGCTTTCTCACCAATCGTTGTTTCCACAACAAGTCATTTTTTTCAAAATCCAGTTATCTCAGAGACAGAAAGTGAGGTGAAATCTTCTGAACAGGGCCACAGGCAGCAAAACAAACACCACAGGGGTGTTAACCCTTCCCTGTGCTATCCAAAACACACACACACACAGCTGGAGTTACACTTAAAAATGAACCTGTTCTGACTTACATACACATTAATCTTAGGAACAAACATATCTTGTTCATAACTTGGTGACTGCTTATATCGCCTACTATAGCCCAAATCCAATTGGAGATGTCCCTCCTTCACAGGCCCGTAGCCAGGATTTTGATTCGGGGCAGGGGGCTGAGTTTGATTCGGGTGGGGCTGAGTCTGAGTGAAAGAGGGTCTACCCTAGCAAACCTTTTGTATCGTTACCCCAATGCATATGG